ATGCCCACTTCTCATGCATCCTGCCAGATTAACGCAGTGATGGAATGTGAAAAATTGTCTTCAGAGACTTTTTTTTTTTCTGTTGTGGGGGAATTTCCCGGACTTCAACAGTAAACACGATTAGTATGTTCATGGATGACGTGTACAAGAAGGACATGTAGGCTTGAAGTACATGTATGTCATAAGTATTGTACCGGTACTACGTTTATGAAAATTGTACATGTTTTTCACTAAGGGAATAAATGTGTGTTCAGGAGGTATTATAACACTCTGTTTAAAACCGGTGGGAGTCTGGATGGGTGATAATTACCCTAGGCGAAGTCAAGGGTCATTATCACCCATCCAGACTCCCACCAGTCTCAAAACAGAGTGTTTAATACCAACCGAACACATATTAATTCCCATTCATAAATACCTTTTTGGTCAAACAAACAAATTGTTTCAGTCTAAATATCAAAACATGTCAAAAACTAGACGTTGCCAACCATTTTGTTCAACAATTTTACTTCATGTTTTACGAAACATCCCTCTGACTATAATATGGAATGCCTCTCCACAACTCGTTACCTTATAAGGACATTTGCATGCGCGGCGCGCGTAATGCGCGTGCGTGTCGCGCGTAATGCGCGATGCCGCGCAAAACGCCGCTGGGCTGGTGTAGTGTGAATGGTGTGAATTTCGGACCATGAAATACTGATTCACTGGTAGTACATTGCGCATGCATACGTGAGGAATGTGAATGTTCAACCAATGAAACGTTAAAAGGCACCGGACTTCATGGGACTCCAAATTTCATGTGACACTGAAAAAGTGTTTAAGACCAGCTAGCCATGTCTTTATCATCCGTTCAAGACCGGCCACGTGACGGGTTCTCAACAAATAGGAATGCGTAAAATGTCTTACAGTGTAGGTATTTATGAATGTGTTTTATACATTACAAGTACATTAAAACTCACATCTGGACATAGTCAAACTATACATATAAGTAGTCAAAAAGGAGCAAATTGTTTGCTGAAAAAAGTTACATAGTGCATGCTACAGTACATGCACATACATGTATGCCTAATTACATGCACAGGGCTAGCCGTATATAGTGTTCAATCATGTACATACATGCATACATCTAAATGCACAAATGTATGTACTTACATGTATTTGTGCATTAGAGTACATGTACAATCCATCAACTGTGACAAATTTCATTGGAGTGGGTTGGCTGGTTCATACACAACATCAAATCATTTCAATGTACATGTACATGTACATGTACACTTTATGTACATGTACATGTACACTTTATGTACATGTACCGGTACATCTAAATAGGTGCAATATGCACAATGTTTGGGACCGGCTCAGAATTTATGCAAAGACATCATCTAGATCAATCAGCAAGCAGTACATCTCCACCTAAGCACATGTCAACTGTGAAAATGCAAAGCAATAAATCTAACCTGATGCTTTTGATACTGTATGGCTCTAGTCTTAATTGCTCCTGGTATACAGTACCGTACCACAAGAGAACACTTTCAAACTTAGCTTTATAACATCTCACCCATATATTCTGTATCTTGAAAGAGACGTCTGATTTAGTGGCACTATTAAACAGAGCTCTTTCACAAATTTAAGTTCCTTTTAATGGTAGAGTCAAAGTGCCGATTGTATGACCGTACATGTATTTCCATTATGGGCAGTTAAATTTTAAAGTGGTTCAGAGGAATCTAAAAATAAGGTGAACGTACATGTAAAATCCTTTACAAAGTGATTTTTGGGAGGGAATTTACACGAAGATGTACACGGATGTACATGAACGTACATGCACTTGTACACACACTCTTGTTTTACTATACTCTCGAGGACAATGCTTTGTGTTTCCCTTTGTCCCTATAATACAACACTCTCCCATAGACCTAACACACAAACTTACTACAGAGGACCGTTTCCAAGAAAAGACCCAACTCCTGAGAGCTGAAAGGATCTGTTGTTCTCCCTTTGTGTGTCGGTCCTCAGGGGTTATGTTATGCGCATTTATGGTGTTAATTGAGGACACACACATGCAACACCATTGATAAGATGAGGACAGAAACCGAATCGAGGACTCCTCAGTTGTTAAAATGTGTACAAAACCAATGAGAGCTGTTACGAAAAAGTTAAAGTACAAACAAAGGAAAAGGGAAGAGGAACGAAGAAAATCCTCAATTAACACCATAAAAAAACGTGCATGAACATTTACACACAAACGTGTTCACACCGTCGATCGTGGACTTCCTATTGTCCCTCTTTTGTTTGTACTTTAACTTATTAGGAAGACTCCCATAGGTTTTGTACACGACCCCAATCACGGACGTACAATGTACCAGTATGCGGGGAATCGTGGACGATATTGTTCTCTTTTGTTCTCTGGAGTTTTTCGTCCACGGTTTGAATACAATGTAGATGAACACGCCCATGTATACATGTGTACTACATTTATGTACATGTACATGTACATGAACAACTTCATGCTACAAAAACGACTTCACATCAGTATGTATTACTAAAGAACCTGCAAGCCTGTCACCATGGGAGGGGGCAGATATCGAGGCCTCCACCCCTGCCCTGACTCAATATTTGGAAGCTAAAAAAAATAGCTTTGTATTGCTTGAAACTTGCATACATGTATGACCATGTGCCCCCACCAGTTATGCTTGTGACATGTACACATACAAACATGTGTGTATGTACATGTACATACGTTAAAGGTAAGTTTTTTCACACTTAGTTTCTCCCCTTAACTTTTCATTAACATGATCACCTTAACAATCTTCTGATGAGAACCAGACAAAAAAATATGTACATCTCTGACTACCCAAGTTTCATAGGGATGCACTTGCAAGGCAAGTCAACTGGAAGGGAGTTAGCAAGACCTTGAGACAGACACGGCTCATATGACTGATGACTTGGAGGACCCATTATCTGTAAGGATAAGGAGGGATCAGTAGCATGTTCTGGAGGCTGCCTGGGTCGATGGGGAGTCACTGATGCTGATGTTCATCTTCATCAAGGTAACGGATGATCATGAAACAAAATGTAACCACAATCTCCACTACATACATGTAGGAATTTCATTTGGAGTACCTCTTTTTTTTAGCCATCCTACATTAGCATTTGAGGGTTTTTTAAAGGAAATTGAAAAGAAAACACAGAAGACACTTACATTTGTAATTAATGACAATCTCACCCCATAGGTTATTGAAACTTTCAGAAAAGACGAGAGAAACTATTTGCAGTGACTTAAGTGACTTTAACTTAAGATACACCCAAAAGTGCATGTGTGACTGTGAGCACTACAAACGTCGCACCAAACGTTTCGCTAACAGTGCACTTTATCTAAAAGAAGTCCAAGGGCCTAATTTCATGTACCGGTTTCATGTAAAGAACAAGATTCTCTGCTTAGGAAACCTTGTCCTTCATTTATTTCACATAGACTGCAAGCAGGAGCATTATAGAAACATGACAACACCCTGACTAATTTCAGCGGCGGTATGTGCTAAAAGTAATGATAATTGAAAATGCTGTGGATGGGTCTTCTATAAATTAAGATTTCAAAGTGTGACATTTTACACACAAAAAATGTCCTTGTTATCTTGGTAAATTTGCCATTCAAGTACCATAAAGTGTGACTTTAAACAATTTTAAGGGCAGGGTTTTGTACATGTACATGTAGTTTACTATTCATAATCACTGTATCAGAATTATAAGATCATTGATGTCAGATGTAACAGGGACTGAAAACTGTGGACCCCAATATATAGAATGATTCATACACAGGTTGAGTCAAAAAAAGCGAAACCCAAATGTCGGGACCATTGTTTTAATGAAGTTCTGGATGTAGCCCTTTCAAAATCTAGAATATGAAAGCCCAATTCATAGGCTTTCTTTTAGTTCAAGAATCATTCAAATCAGTCATGTACTTTTCAAGTTACGGGATTTTAAACACAACCACGGTTTTAAAGTTATATCCACGGATCACAAGGAGGTAAGTGTTCTTTCAGCAAAACGGAAACAAATCACATAGGGTTTTGCTGAAAGAACGCACACCTTTTTTGTGATCCGTGGACAGAACTTCAAAACGGTGGTTGTGTTTAAAGTTCCATAAATTGAAAAGTATATGAGTGATTTGAGTTTATGAGTTATTCTTGTACTAAAAGAAAGCTTATGAATTGGGCTTTCATATCCTAGAGTTGCAAAGTGCTACCTTTGTAAAATGCTTAACACAACTTGTCTGCTATAGTGCAACTTTTCTGCTAACCGCTTTGCAGCTCTACAAAATCAGTTCCAAATACATTGTGACTGTACAAGTACATGTACATGCACTGTTCACCTTCAAAATTGGCTGTGTAGAAAAAAATAACTACCATCTGAAGGACCCTGGAGTACCTCATTTGACGTTGTAATTGACGGTAACTATGGAAACATAACTAATGAAGTGGTTGCATGGTAACACTTGTCTCAATGATTGAAGGTTCACTTGTACTTTGGGATATGGTTGGAATTATCTGGCAGCCTGAAAACATGTATGTCATACTTCATGTACACATACACGACATAAACTTTATTTTGAAAACGATTCATGTACACATCTAAACTAATGGGAATTTCTTTTTGTACAAATTGGGACTCCATCTGAAATGTGAACAATTCCAAACCAAAGTTCAAACTCATAACCTTGTGATTCTCCTGTGGAGCCTGTGGAGCTAGTGGAGGATATACATTTTGTAAAGTTATTCATTTGGTAAACTCATTTTTTTTTCTGAATAAAGCATTTATTGTCATTTAGGATGAATGTTGAGGTTTTTCCAAGCGCATTTTTGGTAACATGAAGGTTTCCTCAACAAACTAAGAATCATAAAGTAAAAGACAAATGAAGTTGTGAAAATTCAACTTCTTCATACTTCTTTCCCTTCCCAAACAGCACCCAAACTTATCTTCGCCCTACATTCTTTAGTTTTTTGACAAACCTCTTGGATATCTTCTAAGTCTTCATATCTTTCCAAACCATCCTGGTGCTGCTCTTGTCCTACGATGAAGCGTTGTCTATCACGTTCCAAAGCCTCCTGCATAGGACAAGAAAAGAAAAGAAACTAACTGCTAGAACCAGTCTAAGGCTAATGCTGGAAACTGTAGACAGATATGGAACGGGGACCATATTCTGCTGCTTAAAGGTAGGGTAGATCATTCGTCATTTGTGCATTTTTGTTTTTGAATCAACAAAAGAGCTCAAAATCTAAAGACGGGTGCTTAAAGCTATAGTCCATCATTTGCAGCTATCCAAAAAGTAACTGGCGTAATTACTGTTGAAAAACATACTTGGTTGAAAGATAGTAAGGGGACTAAACTCTCTGTGAAATTATTCTTTCTGGCAAGCTGTCACTTTGAAGTAATCAACGAAAGAAGGTCTTTCCAACAGTGCTTCTTAAGACGCACCGTTGGAAATTTGAATTAGTAGTTCGTTTTGTTATTCGGCGAAGTGCGCGCAAGCATTGGCACGACGCACACGCACCCCCGGTTGCTATAATTCGTCAGATCGGTGCGCGACATCGCGTAGCTGCAATCGGCTCAGTGAGAACGTGTCATGGACGCTGAATTCAGGCCCATTTCAAAACATGATTCAGCAACTTTTGATTTGAAATTGAGATCCTAGTATGCTGTTTTTCTCGGAATATACAGCTGAAGCTGCGCTGAAACTTCATCAGGTTAGTTGTTCAGTACCCTTCTTAAGATTTTGAGCACTTTTGTTGCTTCAAACGAACAAAATGCACAAATTACAAATGATGGACTATATCTTTAACAACTAACCTGATGTAGTTTTAGCTCTGTAAACATGGTAAATGCTGTATATTCTGAGAAACCAACATTCTAGGATCTCGGTTTCAATTCAAAAGTTGCCGAGTTATGTTTTGAATTGCGCCCAAAATCAGCATCCGGGACACATTCTCATTCAGCCGATTGCAGCTACATGTACGCGACGTCAAGCACTGAACTGATGAATAATAGCAACTGCTCATGCATATGTGCGTTGTGTCAATCCTTGTGCGCACACATTCATGGATTCCCCAAACTACAAACAACTACTAATGGAAATTTCCAAAAATGTGTCACTTGACATATCTTTGGAAATGACCTTCTTTTTATTGTTTTCTTCAAATGACAGCATGCCAGAAAGAATAATTTCACAGTGAGTTTATTGCCATTACTGATTATTATCTTTAAATCAAGTGAGCTTTCCAATGATAATTTCATCCGTTACTGTTTGGATAGCTGCAAATGATCTACTCTACCTTTAATTTAAGTAATGTGGATAGAGTACATGTGTTCAGGTGAATTTGTTTCTCACAGACTTCGGGTCACAGGGAAAATCTCTGCAATCATAGAAAGAGACATACATGTACATGTACATGTACCTAAAGGCAAGCCTTGTACAAGTTGCTTTTCTCAGAGCATTTAAAACTGTATTCCTTCGCTATTCACCGGCAGACATTTCATGCGTCTGGTCTACATGTACTAACCATCTACACAATAAGCGTGATTTCTAATGCATGTATCTCATTTACACATAGGCGTCATGGAGTAACCCCATACCACAACACTACCTGGCTCACAAGTGACCGTATGTCAATCAGTCTGTCAGTCTGTCTGTCTGTCTGTCAGTCTGTGAACTAGTCTGGTACACAGAGGACAAATAGGCTGGCCTTCTGGCTTGTCTGGCACCAGCTACAAATGAATCACATTTGATATTATGCCTGATTATTCCAATGCTTATTTCAGTGGTTTCTTTCTTCATCTGAACATACATTTTGTTTCTAGTTGTTAAAGGGAATATACAACATTTGCAAACAACGAAAAATAAAACTATCAAGTTTTTGCGAAATACCTTAACAGGATGTTGGTAAATGACAGTCTAAAGCATCCTGTAAAATTATGGCACCTGGTATACTGTCATTTTCAAGAAAAGTGGTATTTTTGTATCAATTTCCAACGCTGATCGGCCGATCAGCGTTGGAAACAACTGGCTTTTTATCAAATACTGGCCCCAATTGACCATTGCACTTGTTTGCAATCGATTACAAACCTATAAACGGGTACGAGCCAGCTAGACTGGTTCCCTGACCTTACAATTCCCCCAATGTATGTAAACTGCTCTGTTTCTTCTTATATGGAGTCAGGGAACCAGACTACAGGAAAATGATCGTTTTTCTTGGTTTTTATAGCATTTTCGAACCCAAAACCTCCAAAAAGTTAGTGTAACTATATTTGCTTTATATTTCCGACCCCCCAATTCCACCCATTTCTGAAAATTACAGCAAAAGCAAATGATGTATATTCCCTTTAAGATGGTGTACACGTTCTTACAGGCCTGTGATCTTTCTTTTTTTCAAATATTTTTGTCTTACGGACAACACTTCTAGACACCAACCCCAATCTTTGAAAATTATCTATGGAATAAGAAGCTTACAAAAAAATTTGGTACACATTCAGTTGACCTTTTGTCCGACCTTCCCTGCTTGAGATAATAACTGTTGCTTCAAAGAAAGACTTTTCAAAATGTCATATTAAAAACAATGCCAGACATCATCTTCAATGGTTGAAATTCTCTTTTGAATATAAAGAACCATGCGCAAAAAAAATGGTTAAATAATTGGCTGACCTTTTGGATATTACTTTGCAGGGGGAAAAGGAGGGATAACAAGGAGCTGTCTTTAATCTCAACCGCTCTAGAAATTAAATTTCTCTTAGCAGCAGGGACACAAAGGTTCAATAACAATCAACAATCTTATTGTAACTGCTGGCAACTGCTTTTGATCCATTAACCCCAACTCCCTAGGCCTCTTTGCTAGGATGTAGCCTCAATCCTGCAAAATCCTCCAATTGGCCTCATGGAAAAAAGCATATACATGTAGCCTCAATCCTGCAAAGTCCTCCATTATTTCTTGAAGATGGTCTGTGGAGGGGTGACCACTCCTTGAATCCTGCAAAATCCTGTGGCAGTGACTGTCTATATGCTCGAGGCTTGGCCAGTGACATCCTCGAGTAATACAGAGGATTTCAAGCATAATCCAGGCCTATACCGGTATTTATACATGGCTGAGCAAAAAGTGGCAAAGTGCATCCTAAAAAACCTGTAACGCACTTTTGCCATATTACCTCAATCCTCCAAATTCCTCCACTTTGGCAAAGAGGATTTTGAAGGATTCAGGGCGGCTAGGGTTTTAAACATGGACATACAATGTACATAGGTACCCTGGGCTTAGAAGGCACAGATTATACATGTAGGTGGAAATGGGAGTACTAACCTCGATGAATTAAGCACACAGAACGTTGATTTTTGACAAGCCGTTTTTCTTAGCCACACATGTGTCCATTTAATACCGGTATCATTTCTAATGGTAAATGGCGCGTATTGTTCCAAAGAGCCAGCGCTACAGCGTTGGGTTCAAACATTTTCGTGAAGGGGTGGTTTGGAAGAGAGAAATACATTTTCCTCCAGTTTTGTTTTGAAATTAAAGTTCAAATATATCAAATGACAAGGATCTATATGTCAGTTATATAAAACAAATACTGAGTGGCTGTAAATTGTGTGGCCTAGTGGTTAGGGTTCGTGACTCATGATCAGAGGGTCAGGGGTTCGAATCCAGCCGCTGGTCATATATTGTGTCCTTGGGCAAGGCACTTCACCCCCACTTGCCCCCCTCCACCCAGGAGTATAAATTGAAAACCGGCATTAGCTGGGGAGTAACCTGTGTAGACTAGCATCCCATCCAGGGGGAGTAGAAATATTCTCAGTCGTTTCATGCTACTGAAACCGGAGATAAACGCCGGCCTGATGAGCCACATTGGCTCGGGACAGACTTTACTACTTTAAATTGTGAAATAGGAAGAATATTATCGCTTGGTAAAATCTTGACTTTTCCAGTTCACTCGGCTTCGCCTCGTGAAATGGAAAAGTCCAGATTTTACCTTGCGATAATATTCCTCCCATTCCACGCTGAGCCACTCAATATTTGTATACTAGCACCCCCAATTGGTCAGGAACAGACATTGTCGCCTATGATACATTGAGTTTGTTTCTGCATTCAATAGGGGACGTTGAACAATAGAGGACAATAGGGTCCCCAATTCCGGAGAGGTCCCAATTTGGATTCGTGTACAAAACATATGGGAGCTAGGTCTTCCTAAAAAGTTAGAGTACGAACAAAAGAGGGACAATAGGAGGCCCCCAATTGCAGGCAAATACACACTTCAAGTGTGAGTGTTTGTGTGGTGATGGATCTAATCAGGTATGTGTTCATTTACCAGTCTCCTCTCTTCCTTCTCCTTCCTAGTTTTGTCTCGCAGTACGTCTCGGCGCTTCTTGCTCATTTTCTGGTTCTCTGAGCGTGACTTGCTCATCTCCATGGTAACCCGCCAAATCGGGTTCATGTCCGCCAGATGCCTCTTCTCCACTGGCTAAGACTTACAAATTGGCCAGACCTTTAAAGACAAGAAAGTGAGAGAAAAACAGGCATTTGAGGATAAATTCCATGTGCGATATGATTTAAAAAACAGGTCCGACACTAAGTCCGACACTGTGTGTCAAAAACAGACGAAACCATTAATTAACCACAGGGCCACCAGTGCTCTTCTGTTTTACATTTAGAAATAAGTTGTCCTGCATTATTTTCAAATTCGTGGCGTAAAGTGCTAAGTATACCGGTACATGCATCTCCAGAGACAAATACAGAATTTTAACAAGTCTAAACAAACATGAACATACATGTACTTGTACATGTTCACTTCTGAAAGTACAACCAACAAGCACATGTTTGACTTTCGAAAACATTTACCTGTTTTAAAAATTACATGGCTTCTCAAATTTGGCCTAAAAACAAACAGGAACATGTACACCCATACTTGTTCCATAGTTGTGGGCACTACACGTGAGCTGTCCCATGGTACTACCGTATGGGGACCGAAGACGCTGTGGGGACAGCAGAAAGTCCCTACAACGTCCCCATAACGCGGTGACGGCCCGTACATGTACGTCTATCAGACATACACTCTTACATTTGTACAATGTTAAAAGCAAAGACTCAGAACATAAACTCTTCTAAAAACATTACACGTCAACATATGGTACACCTTAATTGCGTAGAAGAGAAAAGCAAACACAAATTAAGTCAGCAAACGGACATCAATATCCCCTTGCTAACCAGGACTGTCAAGAGCCACTCCTTCAACAGAGCAAAACAGGAAAAAGAAGCCTTAAGGTGTGTGTAAAACAAGCATTAATCTTACCTGTCAGTACATGTACATTTAAGAATTAGCGCGCATGTAGAGTGGAACGTACATGTAATGAGTTGGTCTTTGCTAATAATGCAGTTTATAATTGCTTGCTTAGAGATTAATGTTGTGGGGCTGGTGGTGTGCTTGACCAAATACCGGTACATGTTCATGTAGCTACCCTCGGTAGTGGCATCAGCAGAAATCAAGACAAGATGTGGCACCGAGATATGACTGTCCCTGGAGCACGCAGATGAAATCTTGGGCTATAAGACTCAACACACTGAGGAGCTCAGCGCTATGATAATTTTTTAATGCAGAGATTTACATCGGAGTCACACATATATTCTGCCTACAGGTTCATAACCAGTTTTCATTTACAGCTCAGTACTATTAGCACAAGTATGGATTCTTAAAGACGATTCCCCATGCTATTTTCGAGTTTCACCTCGAAAACAGATTTTTTTTTTAACTGCTATTTTTCTAGAAATATAAAATTGACTCGCATCTTTTGAATAGGACCATGGATGAAACCCCACATTTAACATAATGGTGGTCTTACTGAACTGAATCATGACAATGGTGCAACATACCAGTACATGTACGGTACATGTGGGCAATTCCATGAGAATGAAAAGTTCATGAAAATGCGAGTGTTATTGTGAGGTTTTAAGGAAGAGAAAAAGGTTCATATTATATACACCAAAAGAGTTTTTATTGATTATTAGTTTCTTCGGCGGACAAATTGTAACGTGAGTTATCGTAGTGTGAGTTACCAAATACATCCCTTTACAAGAGCAGTTTATGACTGACAATTTTTTAAAGTTTAAATTGTAGAATATGACTTATACACTTCAATAAGATTCACTGTGGGGAAATGACAGATGGTCTGTGACATTCAGCTATGGCTGTATTTACCATTCAAGCGGAAAATGATGAATTATTGATAGGCTTGATGAGCAGGGGTAATAATGTAGCACCGCTTTCAGTACAGAACAAATAGGCCTACATTGAGGATGTAAATACATCAACATTAAAAATGTATAGCCAAAAAAAAAAATACCTCGGTCTCTGGTCAGCGCGCGCGTCGATTTTAATCATGCGCGTCAACCTTTCTTTTTTTTTCAAATTAACATGGAAGCTACAACAGCGCCCTCTATTGCCGCACCTCCTCAAATTTTTGTACCAAGGAGCACCAAGGAATGGGGAAATTGCACCAAGGCAAATGATAAAGGGCACCAAGGCAAATTATGGAGGACACCAATGTATAATGAGGACACAAAAAAGCAAAATAGTACCCACCTTGTCTGTATAATTCAAGCTTGAAAAAAAAAAAAAACACCAAAAAAAAAAAAAAAACGCGTCGCCGCATCAATTCCGACACTTCGGTCTGACCAGAGACCAATTATTTATTTTTTTTGGCCTGACCAGTGACTGTGAAATTTACTTTTTGGCTCAATACAATGTACAAAAGCCAAAGTTGTACACATACATTGTATTTGATTCTTATCAACTTTCTTTCTTTTTTTCACATAAATTGGAAAATGTTACGTTGTGTGGCCAATACAACTCCTTAGAAAAGATTTCTATTGGTTCTGTGCATTATTCCACAAGGCTGATTGTTTTCCTACGTGTTTATATCAGGCACAACAGCTAGAGCAACAAGTCCAAACTACAGTACCGGTGATGTACAATGAAAGTATTGTAGCTTCCACTTTGCAAACTGGTTTTGTCTGAAAATCATATTTTCCAAAACCAAATAACAGAATTTGGAAATCAATTTTGTCAAAAAGATCTGGAGGCCATACCGGTACATGTACATTGTGAAAAATTTTAGTTTGAAACTTACAATTTCTCATTCATTTTGTTTTTCTTCTTTTTGGGCTATTATTCATCTACATGTAGTTCTGCCAGATTTAGACTTAATCAATGTACACGTATCACACCAATTATACAATGTAATCATCAAAGTTTGCTTTTTACAGCCAAACTAGTCTTTCTTTCTCCAAAGCTTTACAAATAAATGAAAGATATGTATAATGCCTGTAAGGCATGGTCATGCTGCTCATACCGGTATATGTACATGTACAGCTCAAAAAAACACATACATGTACATGTACATGTACCACATGTATGTACATTGTACATTGCCAGCATGTGTGAGTCCATGAACTGTCCATTCCTTGACGCCTGTCTGTATAAGGCACGTCCCTTGATGGCATTTAAGACAAGTACACATGTACCTACCAGATCTGACATCCTCTGATACAGCCAGATCAGCCTAATAATTAGGAACAATGAGGGTTCTCATAGCGACTAGTCCCAAGGCAAATCAACTGAGCAACTTTATATAACTACATGTACATGTATGCATACACTCACCCAGAATACATCAATGTACAGAATACAACACTCAAACTCACTTCAGCCAGACACAAGCAGCAGGTCTTCATACGTATACGCAATGTAAAGTACACTCTGTGAACAGAACTCTAAAAATGCAGCTTTCCCCCAGGCCTTAGCAAGTCAATGTGCACTACATGCCAGTCATCTCATGTGCACAACGTATACATGTAGTGTACATAGAATGCATGTACGTACAACTTACAAGTGCATGTACTGCGCCAACCCTGCACTGTGACATCTACATTTATCACACTAAATGAACACATGTATTCTTCTTCCATGATTTTACATAGTGCAAGATGTACATGAAAATGTCAATTGATGCAGTGACATATCAGTACATTGTACATAAAACTATGCCAATTTAAACTGTAGTACACATGTATACACATGGGTCCTGTGTCACACCGTTTTGGTTTGCAAATTTGACCAAGAGTATACTACATGTACATGTATATTTATAAGTACTCATGATTGGGAACACAGCCACACAAATAAGGCTTTTAACACCACCTCAATGTTGTTACTACAGTGCCTACTCTTATTCCTCCATGATTCAACACTGAAAAGGTTACATTGTTAAAGCAAGAAACTCACTTCCACCATGCTTCCACTGAGTAGTTGTGAACTGCATTAAAACTCAGACCTGAATAACAACAACAGATCTTTAATATGACTATAATGAAGATTTCTACACTAGTTTTCTTTTTGGGGGTGGGTTAGAAATGCAAAATCCTCAAAACATAAAATAAGCCCTACAGCTTAAAAGATGCTTAAGGAATACAGGCTGAGAACACTGATGCAAATGGCGAAATGCTGGAGGTGTTGTGCTGGAGACCGACACTCACACATCGGACTTAACATCAACAGCATTTATTATGATACGGTCTAGACCATGGAATACTGGTACATGTATGCATTGATGGCAACGAGTCTAGGACTCAGGACCTAAAATACCCAACGCACCAATGGGGTATTCCATGATGTAATAAAGCGCCTGTCCTAGTGTGCTAGATTAGTGGATTGGTCTAGTTGTTTTCCATATTAATGATCATTATTGAATATTGATGTCAAATGCTTCGTTTGATGTCCCATTTGATCAAGTCCACTAGACATGTTCGTGTACATGCCCAGTGGACACGTATGTACATGCACACGTATGGTAGCACGTAGCGGCATAACCTGCAATTGACCTATCGTGGTATAGAATCGCGTTAGAATCGCATCAACGCAGCTTGTGAAATATTGTCCAATTACATGATGTACAAATGGACGCGGAACGCACAAAATCTGATACAAACAAAACTTAGTGTACAAAAACTCCATAGGGTTGTCTAAGGGGCATGGTCAACTCGCAATTAAATGGCGATAGGTCAATTATCCGGAACTGTACTGTCTGATTTAAGGAGAAAATCCTTGCTCAAAGTGAACATACGGTAGGACTGGTACCAAATATCCTGTGAAATTATTCTGCCTGAAATTAATTATTTCAGAAGAAAACAATAATTGAAGGTGGTTTTAAAAACTGAACCCGCGGGTACAGATTTTTACGAGCATTAGCAACGGAATCCAGTTACGAGACGCCAAAAATTGTACATGAATACGTCTTCAATTTTTGTCTCCACATGCATCCACTGAGAATCACTTCAACAAGAGAGTTACATGGCCTTCAAAAGATTTTGAGCAATTTTGTCGTTTGTTGAGTTTTCAACTCAACCAACAGTTGTAAATACATGTACATTGTATATTCTTATTTTAGCACTGTGTACATTTAAATCAACTTTTTGCTTTTGAATAAGCCAATT